GTGTGTCTGTCTGTGTGTGTGTGTGTGTGTGTGTGTGTGTGTGTGTGTGTGTGTGTGTGTGTGTGTGTATGCGTGCATGAGTGCTAACCTGTCCAGTGAAGAAGCCAGATGTTCAGACACTCACTGGGCCGATAGCGCCCTTGACCCTCAGTGTACAGGACCTGTATGGGGCTGGGCCTCTTATCTGTCATGTTGCTTTGCTTTGACACTTGGCACCTGGGCTCTTATCTTCAGTGGCGGGGAGTAACAAAGTACAAATACTTAGTTATCACGCTCAAGAGTATGTTTCCAGGTATACGCTCTCCACGCGAGTGCACATTTTCTGGCGACTTAACTCAAACTCAAAAATATGCTTGTTACTTTTTTCGCGAATGATGACAATACAAAAAAAAAAGAGAGAGCGGCAGAACCGGGGATCATTAACAACGATCATCACAAGAGATTCTGAGAAGTAAGGCGTCATTTCAGAGAAGTGTTGGTTGGGTGCACCAGCCTAAAAACCATGGCGATGAAAAATTCTCCATGTAACGTGAAAAAACTTTTTTTTTCTCCGTGACAAATTTTCAAAATGACTTTTGTACTTAAGGATATTTCAGTCAGTCATTTTCATTTTAAGCGACTCGACTTAAGGGCCACTCTGCTTCGACAAAACACAAAGGCAGGGATGGAAATCAAAAATGGACTGTGAGAAGCAGTGATTCAGTTCTTGGAACCGCTCGCTTGCTTATCAATTCCTTGAAGAAATCCCCCCCAAAAAAGGAAACCATTTGTGTTATTTCATTCCTCATGTGAATGGATAAGATAATTGATAAGGAATCGACTCATGTGTCAGGACTGGAATGGCCAAAACCTTCTCATCCCTCAAAATAAGGACTCTTCACATTGCGGCGTTTGATTCTGAACTTTCCTTTGCTCACCTAAGAGAACAATGGCTTCTTACTCTCACACGTGCACGCGTGAAGTCTACTCATACAAGTGGAGATGGAGTCCGTCGTGGTTCATCATTCCCAGACTCCTCACCCCTCTGCCGCAAATTAGCCCAGCCATTGTTCGACATGAGCACACAATTAAAGGAGCGTAAGAAGAAAGACGGAAGGAAGGAAGGAAGGAAGGAAGGAAGGAAGGAAGGAAAGAAGGAAGGAAGGAAGGAGAGCAGGATGAAACTGGAGGCTAATTGACAGAGGGTGACTGAGCTCGGGGCTGGAAGGACAGGGTGGCGGTGGTGGTTAGTGGGGGTGACAAGCCGCGGAAGGGCAGATTAAAGGGAGGGAGGAGGGACACAAAGAGGAGGCGACGGGGGGATGGAGCCAAAACTGGCAACCCTGCTTCAACTGCCAAACGCTGTCTTGAGGTGGCTGTGACAGGGAGAGGACATGCCAGAGGGAGACGAATAGAAGCTTGGGAATTCTCGCCACTTTGTCATGGGACCTTGGGGGTCGAGCAAGTGCCACCGGCGCCACTAGTCAAGCAGTAGAGGAGGGAAGACACACCGCTGGAAGCAGCACAAGCCACGAGGCTTCTTCGAGGCAACAGGAGGAGACAGAAGAAGAAGAAGGCGAGGGGGGGGACACATCCACGGTGCAAAAGGAACGTTTCCAGCGCGGCCCCTTCCACCGACGAGATTCCGCCGACCTCGTAGGGCCAGAGAGATGAAGAGACCTCACGATTACAGCTCAGAGTCGGACACGGACGAGCTGATTGATGTGGGACAAGAGGACGGCTACTGGTGAGCATCCCCGCCGCATGCCCGAAAAAGGGAAAAATGCAAGTGAATGTGGAATTGAGAGAACATAAGAAAAAAAAAACAAGGCCTGCAAATCCATTTGACTCAATTTGCCGAGTTATGATGTTATGTAATGTCATTTGTATTCAACGAGCACAGAACGTGACAATCGGAATTAACAGTTCATAATTTCTTGTAATTCCTCGAACTTGTTCAAAATCAGCTATTTTCAGGCCCTCCTTTACTCTAAATAATAGCAGTCATAAAAATTTTTTGGGCTTCGATTGAATGTCTGGATTCAAAAATAAGTTTCTGGGAATGACAATTAATTGCACGCTTTTTGATTATCCATTCATGGTGCGAGTGACTCAAATTAATTTCACACTTTTTTATGCACTTGACAAGATGAACAACTTCAGATTTGGAGTTAATTTCCCCGAAAGTAAACTCAAGCAGAAGCTTGACTGATGAACACCGCTCCATCGAACAATTTAGTGTTACCGTTAAACGTCGTAGTTTGCATACAATCAAATGCGCGTCTCTTGATCATTCGCAGAAAAATTCAGGAAAAAAAGGTCTATGATACTTTTGCCACCGTGCTGTATGATAAAATACGTCAATTATTTAATTGATGTGTTGATCCTTTATTTTCAACATTTGAAAGTTGAATAATATTAGAATTCACTCACAAACCACACAAGATAATAGAATCCACTACTGTGTGTAAAAAATTTGGAGTCACTTGAGTAGCTCACGACCCAATACACACACACACACACACACACACACACACACACACACACACACACACACACACACACACACACACACACACACACCAAATTTTTCGAAACATGAAGTATGATGTACTTCATAACGCAACTACAAAACAGATACATTATCTCTGTGACTGGAAAATAATTATTGATACAGGCGGAACTTCTTACACAGTACTTGTGGTAGAATGCGGTGCATAAAATGTTCAGTCATAGGACAAGATCAAATAAAACTCATGAAATCAGTTTCACATGAAGAGAAACTGCCTGAAGCGTTTCTGAAATGGAAGCATGTTGTCAGACATTTATACGCGTTGTTGAAATTGTCAACATGAGGGCTCAAAGGCTGTGAGATTGAAGACGCTGACTCACAGAGAGAGAGAGAGAGAAAAAAAAGAGAAGTTTTCAAAAGAAACATCAGGCAATGAGACCGTTGCGTTGTCACACACAAACCCATCCGTGTTTATTGTGTCAGTGCGTGTTTGGAGTCGCAGGAATTCTGACGACGTCAGCAGGCAGTACGTGGCATGAAAGACAGCCCCCGGGTCAAACGAATTTCTGCGTGACATGCCCTTTCAAGTGGGAGCCATCAAACGGCATCCTAAGCAAAAACACACGACCGAAATTGGCAGCGTCGAAATCTAATAAAAAGACAATAGGGAGAATGTTGGCGCTCTCAGCGGCAGGTCCGGGCGCAAACAAACATTGGCGGGGCGTAACCATCTCGGCTTGGGGCCCATGGGAGCCGGCCTACGGCCTCCGGGGCTGCAACATCATCTTGGGAAACTGCATTCATACAGACGGAATGTCGACCGGCGCGCGATCTGACATCGCGCCTGCTCACGAACACACACTTGTGCGGCAAATGTCCCCGCGAGATCTGACGTTTCCTTCTGCCTCTGTGCTACATGAAAGAATGGTAACCGTAACAAGATGTCGACTCACCATATATTCTGATGCGTGATATGCAGCCCAGTCACCGGGTCCATGTCCCCTGGCAGCACATCACAGATTCTGGCGCGAAAGAAGAGAAGAGGGGTGAGTGCATCAAAGTCTGAGTGTGGTTGAACGCCGTTGTCCTTAAAAAAAGCTCTGCATTTTGCACTTTTCCCAGATGCCAACTCAGTTTTAACCCTGCGGTAACCCAGTTTCATATTGGTACCCTATTTGCCAATTTCTGAAAAAAAAAAAATCAACATTGACTTTTATTTTATTGGGTGGTCTTTTTTTAAGCATCCTGTGATACCAAAAGCTGGCACCAATGCAGCATTTTTCATTGGCAAGTAGCACAGTTGTAAGATGGATGCTGCGGTGAAACATCTGAACTGAGAGACAGGCTTTGTATATCGAGGGGAGGAGCTAAATTTAGCCTGGGTTGTTATGGAGATGCTTCTTTCGAGGCATACGGACACGCCCACTTACAGTGCATCTGTATGGAATTTACGGGTATTTTAAAGGACCATTTTTTTTCTACTTGAGTGTGAGATAATTTCTTTGGGGGGGGGGGCGTGTCCATTGCCTGCTGTTTTTTTAAGGCAGGGCACAGAGGAAAGATGATACCCATTGACATCGGTCGACCAATTTTTGTTTCTGTGTGTTTTCCGGAGAAGACCTCCTTCAGGTTTTAGATTGGCTAAAACGCCCCAGAGTTTTGAGTTATAGTGCCACCATTTGCTCTGGCAAGCACTTGTCCGACTGCAAAAATATGTTGAGGCCAAGAGATTTTGCTTGCTCTGCCACTGCTGTGAAATGAGAGGGTGTTTTATTTTTTTGACAGTTGGATCAAAATAATATAATGATATTCAAATGGTCTAAAAATCCTTCTACCCTCCAATAGATCATTGAGAAGCGGCGCAGGGACCGCATCAACCACAGTCTGTCGGAGCTAAGGAGGCTGGTACCAAGCGCTTTTGAGAAACAGGTGACAACTCAAGCCAAATGGTTGTTTATGTAGCAAACATTTTGATCAACGGCAACATCAGTTTTGTAATTTACCGACATAAAATCGCACTGGTATGTTTTAGACCAGTTTCATTTCTGAATGACCTGCTTTTTTCGGGGGGTAGGGGGTGTTAAAATCCAGGCCTCTAGCTGTTGATTTTTACATGACACAATTCGTTGAGCCTCGCTGGAGGTCTGAAGTACTTGATCAAATGAAATCACTGAGGACTTTCTGTTCTGTACTGTTCTGTTCTCTCCAGGGCTCCTCAAAGTTGGAGAAAGCCGAGATTCTGCAAATGACTGTGGACCATCTCAAACTTTTGCATGCCATGGGAGGGAAAGGTACGATTTCTTCTTTTTATTGACCCTCAAATGCTCGGTGTAATCGCTTCACTTTTGACAATTGTCCCCCACTCGGTTCCAGGGTACTTTGATGCGAGGGCTCTGGCGGTGGACTACAGGACTCTGGGTTTCAGGGAGTGCGTCGGAGAGGTGGTTCGGTACCTCAGCTCCCTCGAAGGAGAGTCTCCAGACCCGATAGGCGCCCGCCTGGTCACCCATCTCTCCCACTGCGCAAGCGAGCTGGACCCACTGGTTCCTCAGTCACCCCCGAGCTCCGCTTTGCCCTTCCCTCCTTGGCCCTGGGTGTCCTTCCCCCAGATGTCGGCCTCGTCCTCGCCGCCATTCCCCAGCGGACGACGGGATCTCACCTTGATGGGAAGCTACCCGCCGGCCGCAGCCCTACGTCTCGCGCCGCTGGCCGGCTGCCAACGGGGGGCGCCGCCCCTGCTGGCTCCCACGGCTCTCGCTACCGTTCACAGGCTGCCATCCCCCGCGCCATCTCCATCCTCGGGCCCCCCGAGGCTGGCGCAGGTGTCCCCGCGGAACACCTCCAGGAACTCACCCCTTCCGCCCGCCCCTTCCGCTTCCTCTCCAACCAGCGCGCCGGCACTCGTCTCTTTCAGACCCTTTGCTCCTCTGGTGTCTTCCGCAGTCCAGCGTCGGGGCATCGTTGGATCGGGCAAGTCAGCCCAAGGATGGGCGACCGAAATTGGAGCTTTTTGAGGCCCGTCTTTTTTCAAAAAATGAAATGACCCGCGCAAGGGACACCAAATGCCGATGTAGCAAATGATGCAGGTGATCGAAGGACATTTAAGGACCGTCTCTTTCTTTAAAGAACTCTACAAGCCATATCAGACTGAAAATTTCAGATAATCGCCAACAAAAAGTATCGAGGAATGATGAAGACATTTGTGAGCAAATGGACGACGACCTTGATTGTCAAACAGAATATCCAACAGAGTCATATGTTTCACAGAAAATAATGGTTTTCAGCTGGGTTGTCTGTATTAGTTTCCAAATCAATGACACAGAAAATGATGGAAAAAGAAAGTTTTGGGGGGGGGGGGTAACAGGACATAAAAAATAAGTGCCTTTACCTTTTGGTTGTGTATTTTGCTGTCATTCCCAAGAATGGGGGCGGCGGGGTGGGGGTTCTCCAGAGTTGCTGTCCTGCAGGTTTTTGATTGCATGTTTTCTGTGACACCCCCGATCCAAGCTGAAAAGCTGATCATTTGAATCAGGTGTGTTGCAGGAGGGACACCCCGAAAACAGGCCGGACAGCGGCCCTTGAAGACCGGAGCTGGACACGCCCCCCTAAGGAGCCCTTTTGTAGCCTCATGTTTGGCCCCAATATTCCTTCTGAGTCCTTTTTCATGTTATGATGACCTCTTTCTCAAAGTATTGTCACTTTTCTCTACGTCTTTTAAAATACCATAAAAATGATGAACTCATTTCCAAGAATGTTTGGACTTCTCCGAGTTTCATGATTTATTCTTTCACATTCTTTCACACATCTCACTTACATATCTAAATTGTAAAACTGTTAGCGGTTCAAACTGTTAACGTCAGGCCGTTAGCAGCTGGGACTGTTTCTCCAAACCATTCGATTGAAACCATCATCTCAGGGCCTGCCGGGAGAGCCTCAATGACATCAGCAGAACTTTTCACAGCCGACTTGAATGGATGGTTTCTATCATGGCGACGTGTCTGGTAAGATCCCACTGAAGGCCCAGGTACAAAATGCAAGAACAGCTACCGCCGTGAACGCCGTTACATTCATGTGAGCGATATGTCACCCTCGTAGTGTTGGCCACAAAGAAATTGCATCGGGAAGGGCCTCATTCGGATCGGCAAAGGACAGTCGGTATCCCGGGGGGGGCGAACAATGTTTCGGGGATGCCATAGCGAGCAAAGCCGCCGCATTATCCTGTAATTATGTTTCCTCTCATATCAGCATGTATCCTCTTCTCCGTTGCCATTTTTATGTTTTTATGGTTTTTTTTTTCCCAATCCTGCGGTCTACCATACAGCTATCTTCTCTCCCTGTTTGTCTGCGCCGCTGTCTCCTCAACAATGGGCAAGGCAGTGAGGATGAGACAGGGGATGCGGGCTGAAACAATGAAGAAGACTCCCAAAGGCTGCATTTGCCAAGCATGTGCGGCGGGGAGATGACAACTCCGGGGCGAGATGAGAGGAAGAGTGTGGATCCCGCAGGGGTCGGCAGGAACAGTGATGGATGACGCCTCTCAAGTCGACAAGCGTAATTGTGTCGTGCCTCACGAAAACAGTCGCGAGGGGATGAGAGGGGATGAGAGGGACTTGTGTGCTTGCCGGAGAATGCTTTGATCTCCTCCAGGATGCGATGTCTGCGGTCTGCGGTCCAAAAATGTGTGTGTTCTGCAACGTGCACTTTGTTTATTCGGGCCAGCGTGCTCGCGGGCCAACGCTGTGGCGCTCGTTGCCCCGAGTTCGTGTGGCTTCCTGAGGGCTTTGTTTATGCGGAGCCGTGCGTGTGAGCCAATGCGTGCGCGCGTGTGTGTATTATGCGAGTCTTGGTGGCTGGCGTCAGGACTGAACCGCTGTGGCGGCACGGCTCTCGTGCAAGGTCGGCCGGCGGTTGCACGAATGGGATTGCGGCGGAATGTTTGTGGAGGGCGCGAGTGCGCACACATGGCGCGCTCTCTCTCTCTCGCGCGCGCACGCACGGCGTCACTGGCAGCGTTCTGACTGGAGGAGCCAGAGTCACCACCACAGCTTCCAGAGAGCACGACCACAGTCACACTGCACGGAGGTTCCCACGGGGGAGGGGAGCCAGGAAGACGCAGCAATAATTTGTGTGTGTGTGTGTGTGTGTGTGTGTGTGTGTGTGTCGGGCGTGTCTGTGAGAACAAATTAAAATGCAAGGCACCAGGATAGCAATAAAACACACACACACACACACACACACACACACACACACACACACACACACACAAACCTTTTTACTGCTGCGTGAAAATAAACTAAGACCGTTACATGCTTACTAATTTGCAGTTGCGCTCGCCATTGTCTGTGTGCGCATTTGTTTGTGCGTGCATAAATAATCAAACACTCAGCGCCAGGAGAATTATTGTTGTCTTTCGCACCATTGGGGAAGAAAATTCCAAATAGTCACGTACCCCCCCCCCCCCCCCCGATTCCCCCCCCCCCGCACCCTTCAAATCTATGTGAAGGTACATCATAATTCGGACCAAGGTGGAGATTTATCATGATGTAAGTTCCTTTCATGGCCCGAACTTTGATGCATATACTTGCTGTTTTGGAGAAAAAAAACGCAAAGCGGCACTGATAATACATCAGAAGACGAGGCTGTTGAATTTGCGGATTGCATTCTCAAAGTCCCCAAATAAAACAGAAAGCAGACTTGTTGATTAGAGTTGAGCAACCTCTGCTGTCAAGAGAAAGCACAGCCCGAGTTTGCAACTTCAGCTGATTGACAACTTCGGTGTTCAAGAAGTGCAATGCCTGAAAAACCAAAGACCGGTTCGGGGAACAGAAAATAAAACCGTTTCATTTCTGGAACATTTATTTTGTGTTATTTCAGAAATGACAATTTCGATGCATTGGTCCCGATTAGCCAGGATGATAATTGTCTAAATGCAGTTCCTCAAGGTGAACCCAGACACCACATTGGTCAGTTTGGATACCTTGGGAGGAGCTGGCATGGTGGTGAAGCGCTTGAGATAGCAGCGACGTCTGTCGGAAAGAACCCGCGCATGTATCAAGGTCATCGAGACAGATGGGCGGTCAAAATGCCGTAATACTGTACCGGTAAGCCGAGTCGTGGAAGCTGTCATCGACATAAGTGTAGAATTGACAATTTTGGTCAATAGAACACGTCTTCTGGCACGTTTCTGCGTCGTCCAACAACTCGAAGCGAATATCCGAACCTTGGAAATCGACGCCCTCAAGAGCCGTCTTTGCCCAGTCTGTTGGCGGGGAACAACATGGTGAGCAAGCTGTCATTTCAACAGAAATGGGGTCGCAATTCACCACACACGTGACACATTTCCATTCCCTCTTATGATAATTGATCAAAGCAAGCCTCCATGTTGTTTTGTCCAAACTGCAAGGACGTACGTAGCTTTCCGAGGCAAACTGGGAAGCTCCTGCGAGGCTAGCCAAGTGCATTCGATCAAACGGTTGCACTTTGTTAACGTACAGCCTGAATTAGTAGCCTCAACCTCTCAACTTGCCTCGATGCTGCTATAGCAAAGCCACACAATGATATGTCGAGAACATTTTTTTTTTTCTTTGAAAGAGGCGATCACTGATGAAGAACACTCACCTGAATTTTGTTGACAGAAGTGCGTTGCTATGCCAGACGTGACACCTTCTTTGGCCTGTATCACGAGTTCATTGGCATTGTTTTTCAGACGACAGGTGAAGGAGTTGCTGCGCAGACACATAGAATAAACCCCATATGTTGCTTTTGATCATCAGTCAATGGGACTAATGATCAACTTATGATATGACAACCTCTCGAAAGAGAAGTAGGTACAGCGTGGATGAGCAGAGCACAATGCCAGACAATGCTCTGGCGTGCCAGCAAACTGTGACTCCAAGGTACCCCCAACGATGTCGGTGCTCGGAAAAAGTTTCATGGAGCAGGCTAGGGCACGACAATGTACTCCGGTTAAAAGCATGGCAGTTTATGCAGCATTATCTTGGAGATATTTTTTCTTCTTCTTACGTGTGTCAGAGGGCTCACTAAATTGGACACTGTGCGAGAAGCCAGACACCACGCCAGACTTCCTGTTTACGTTTAAGGTCCTCGGTAAAGTCCAGCTGAATTTCAGGTGGCATTTATACCTGAAAAAAAAAAAAGTGCTTTGGTTGAATCGTGAAAAAAGGAAGCGATCGACTCACCTCGGCTCCATGTAACTTGGTTTATTTACCTGTAATTCTCGGGCGTGAAGACGCCATTGATAAATGTAAAGAACTGGCAAAAGGGGTCTTTGGTGCACACTCGCTGACACTCTTCGTAGTCGCTTGTGAACAAGGTGCGGTAGTCTGCCCCCAAAAAGTCCACATTTGGGTAGACGCGAGACAGGCAAGGCTCTTGTGGATAGGAAAGACGGTTTCAAAAAAGTGTTAGTGTACTTTAAAGTGAGTCACATTTTGTGTCAAAAGAGGGAGCTTGCGTACGTGGGTTTGGGCCGCACGGTTTGAGAGAATACCCGGAGGTGACCCCGCTGAGGACTTTCTGAACTTTGGGCTGTCCCGAGGGCGTAGACTTTAGGTAGCAGTAAAAGTGCCTGCAGAGAGGTCCGGGAAACCGTTATTCCACCACTTACAACAAGTTAGGACATCGGATTCCTGGATGAACTGTCGCCAACCTTCACCAGTGAACTTTTGAATGCGCGAGCGGTCGTTCAGCAATCACGACTTGTTGCACAACTTGTTGTTCTCCAACAAGGAGTCGAAGGGCAAAATTGAAAACAGGTGTCGCACTCATGAAAAGACCAATAAAACTCCCGCTTCAATCATCCCCCTTCGTCATTCTGTTTGCATTTTGACATGAGATCAAGGCGAAAGCTCGCCATTGACCAACAGTTTCCCCCGCCTTTGAATTGCTTCCAAGAACACGTTCTAAGTTGGAAGCGGCCATTAAAATGACACAGAAACACTGACAGGGTCACCGTATGATATATTTACGTTCATCTCCTTGTTTAAAAAAAAAAAAAAAACTAACAGGAAGTTGTGCAAGGCCGAATGAAACACCAACATTTCACCCCCCCCCCAAGCCCAATCTCCCCCATTCACTGAGTACTTCTATTTTTACATTTAGTAGCACATGCGCTTTGAAATGTGCATTCCCACCTTTTATCGTTGGTCCAGTCAGCACGTAGAAATGTAAAGAAGAGACAAGACGGGTACTGCGTGCACAATTGCTGACAGTGGTGCACATCAGGAGAGTACTCATGCTTGATGTCCGTTCCAGGAAAGTCGATATTCTCCAGCAATTCTCTTTGACATTCTACGGGAATGAGGGAGGGGGGGGGGGGAAAAATAGCATAGATAGAGACGATAAACCACATGGAAATAAAGACATTGTTTTTACCTTGGCTGAATGAGAGACTGCACGAAGCGAGGACGCTTATGAGGATAAAAAGCGCTTCCATTGTCTCTGTGGGTCAACCGTGCAAATGTTTATTTTGCACTTGTCTCATTTATAGCTCACGGCCTCTCTGCCGAGTGGAGTTGACCTGTCCTGCGATTGGCTAACACGGTGTTGCGTAAAGCTTGCCGATATGAAAAAATCAATTCAAACAGCATTGGGGACAACATGCACAGAACTTGGTTTGCTTACCGTATTTTAGAAAAAAAAATGGGTCAAAATATGTGAGCGATTCTCCATAATTGCAACCACCGATAAAATCGGTGGCTCCTTGAGGCGCAGTAGAAAGGACAACGATGTACGAGTCGGACAGTAGCGTTGCTACGCAACGGAGGGGAATCCCGCGGCGTGCATTTTGTTCATAAGCAAGGTCGCGGCGGCAGTGCCGAATGAAACACCAACATTTCACCCCCCCCCCAAGCCCAATCTCCCCCATTCACTGAGTACTTCTATTTTTACATTTAGTAGCACATGCGCTTTGAAATGTGCATTCCCACCTTTTATCGTTGGTCCAGTCAGCACGTAGAAATGTAAAGAAGAGACAAGACGGGTACTGCGTGCACAATTGCTGACAGTGGTGCACATCAGGAGAGTACTCATGCTTGATGTCCGTTCCAGGAAAGTCGATATTCTCCAGCAATTCTCTTTGACATTCTACGGGAATGAGGGAGGGGGGGGGGGGGGTTTAA